CCTCCTCAAGACATCCCCAGCAAGAATAACTATTATGTGTGGTAAATGCCCTGAAACCTACCATTTCCTAGTTCAAGTCCTGCAAAGGATATCCTTTGTCAGAGGAATATTTGAGCAGCAGCTTTGCATTTGATGGATTCCACCTCGTTCCGTTGCGGAGCACCAGGTTGAGACCAATCACCAGTTTGAAGCCAATCTTGTGAACAAACATGTTAAGATCATCCCAGGTGTTTGCTGAAAATAAGTGTTTCTAGATCAGGCATCAAATAATACATTCTTTCAGTTGTATATCTTGAATATAGAGTCAAATCACACTTGGAAGCATCTTCAATCATGACAGTTTGCATAAGATTTCGTGAGCTCAGAAATATGGAAATTCTTCAATCAAAACGTACATGTAGATTCAAGGTCTTTCTGGGGAAGGTTTGTTCTAGAAAGATGCAACAATGTTATTTTGCTGTCACGATCTGACATCAAATAATACATTCTTTCAGTTGTATATCTTGAATATATAACAGTTTAAACAAGATTATGTGAACACAGAAACAAGAAATCTGTCAGTCAAAAGGGAGACTCATAGGGAGACCTTTCGGTGAAGGTGTTTGCTAGAAGGATGGAACAATGTTTTATAGCTTTCACCTGGGAGCTGGAACTGGTCTCCAGTAGCAATGTTGTGGGTCGGGTCAAACACCATGTAGTCCAGTGACGAGCCACCGATTCTCAGATACCCTGGAGCTAAAGCTTTTCCCAGAGTCAGCAGTTTGGGAGAACTGTTAAAACAAACACGTTTTGTGTGCTTCTTGAACCATGGTAATAATCAAGCTATATTTCCTGGATCAATGTAGTCCCTACAGGCTATTCTTACCAAGATTACAAAGAAAGTCAAAAGACTCTTTATTCACAATGTGTTTTGTCCAGGTTATAAGGCCCCGGTAAAACTGTCAAAACGTCTTATGGTATTCCCTATTTATACTTGCACCATATGTTCACAGACGAATAACTGACTTTACTTCGCACCGGTTTTTTGACAAGTGCCGCTGATGGACCAGAATGCAACCGACCTGGTATCATTTCTATTTCATAATGTTCATGATACAATCCAGACTTCTACTGTGGAAAGTGTTCATGGCATTTATTTGTGGATATAAATGTATATTATCATCCGAAACCTCGATTTGCACACAAATCCGTCAACCAAGTAACAAACCAATCAGACATATTTGCCCCGATGTTTTATTACCTGACATTGTGATACTTCAGATTGGACCTCAGTTGACTGCCGGCGATGGTGACGCCAACAAACATGTCATCTATCACCTGCAACACGTGGTTAGTTTTCACCCTGATATGTTCGGTGTGTAGGGACACAGTAAACGGCAGGATCCAAGCCAGTCCAAATAAACACAAGATCATGATATCCGGGAACATTTTCACCGTTACTTCATTTTGAGATATATACCTCCTATGTTCACTTCGGTTTGGGCAAACAGCAGGTGCCACAAAGACCTGGCAATTGATAAGAAAATGTAACCACATGTATGATTTAGATGATTAAGATTATGCCTAGACTTTTGGTCAAGAACTGGGCTTGTGTGTATCGGTTTTGGTATCTTATCTTAGTTTTATTACGTAAATGTGAAACTGAGAAAAATCAAGTCCCGATAACATTTGGAAATATGTAGACACACGACCTATCCTTAATATGACGAAGATACACTTTACATTTCTGTTGTAGGTGAGTTTAAACACTTTGAAAAGTGATGACGCTGAGTCTAACAGTGCAAAATCTGCAAATAAAACTTTCCTGGACGACCGAGAATATTCTCCCATGCAAGCTTGTGTCGAGTCGACAAAGCCCATTGTCGAATATACAGAACACATGAACTCAGCTTGCACTGGGTCACAATCGACCACAAGTGGATTCTCCTTTAGCACTATTTAAACGCCTACCAAATATTTCGTCACAGCTTTTAACCAGTTAGTTTGCACATTGCTTTTGCGTGTTTGTGTTCTGTTGTCTCACTTAATTTTGTAAAAGTAACATTAATAAGCTTGTGTGTTCTAGATGCCAGTCCTTGCTACAACAGTAGACTGTAAATGCTGTAAGAACCATATTGCTCCCTCTTCCATAGCTACATGCTGTTTGCAGGCTAGTTTGTAATGTATTTGACTACATACTGACGACACATGCAAACGCCAGACAAGTATTATTCATAAACCTGCGGGCTTCCAACATGCAGTAAATCGTACTTCTACTTTTAGTCAAAGTAACCCTACATGACACCAAAGGTGATGTATCGGATGTATGGGATGTCAATATTGTACACACTGTACTACCACATTCTCATTCTGTGAGTGCAGTAAGCATGCAATGTATCCAAGCATTTCAAACTGATTTGTTATTGCGTGTGCTGTTTCTCAGGACGGGATTGATGTATTAAGATTTGTTCATTGTACATCAATAAATAACACACATTTCCAAAGATGTTTGGAGAAGTGACAATTCACTAATGATATGCATAACCGTCTCCTGTCTAGCTGACCTAAATTGATGATTACAACATGCAAAGTCTCGATTATTCTCTGAAACAAGTTTGCCTATAATGCAAAATCAAGGTGAACATATATGAACGGATTACTGAAAATCCGTAATGACACCAGGTGTTCGCCCCAAAAAGGAAGCATGTAGTTTCTGTCCCTCACTCAGACCATCTGCGTCGAATGAAAGTCTTTCTTGCCTATCCCAGCAGTACCGTCATGAGATGGCAGTCTGTAACAAATCTGGAGATCTAAATATGTTCGTGTTGCAACGCTGTCCATCAGTCAGGTTTTTTTTGGTTTTTTTGTTGTTGTTTTTTTGTCCAACTTAATGATCTACAAATGTTACCTGAAGATCATTTAATCACCACACTTTAGCCATGTATTCCATGGGCACCGAACACACAGTAGCGAAGTAAAAGCACGTGGTACTTACATTCAAACGTCAGCCCTTGCCTTCGTAGGGAGTGAAGACGTTCAATGTATGAACAAATTATTAATATGTGTTGACGATGTGGAGCTTTACTGGTGATAAGACGCGTTGGTGCAGGGAGTTGAGTTGAAGAATCATTTAGGCAACAGCTTAACTGTCGCAAAGCCATGATCTTCCTGGTCTAAGGATGCAAAAGTAACCATATTCCATATATCTTGTAAAGAGGTGATTTTAAAATTAAAATGTGTAACCCTAAGATGGGTTCGTACAATATTACTACAGTGTGAGAGCATGGACAACCCTCCTTTTGGAGCAGTTTATTCCATATTATGTGAACTTAACCTTCTAAACCTTCCAACCATTTATTCAAACACATACTGTTGTTTTTGCACAGTGTGAAGTCGTTTCAGGGATGAATATAACTGTATAATTAAATAACCCTGTCTTGTGTTTCCTGTCAATTTCACTCTGAGAAACATGAAGATTAACTGAAACTTGTAAATAATAGTTAGTAATAGAGGATGTTATCACAGTTAAGATATTCCAAAGCCACCTAACACGTCTACATTCCAAAAGACAATAATCATGGCGGTTTGCAAACATTTTATTAAAATTGCCAGATGGCTATCCGATAATGGTACCGTGGCCTTGTGATTGACATGCCGCGATGTTGGCGTCAGGGATGACGATGAAGCCGAATGAGTTTCCGGGTACTTTCATGGTCCCACTTCCTACAGATCTTGGCATCATTTGTGGTATTTGATTATTGCCTAGTTCCAGAGTGTTGCCATTGAGTTGGACTTTTCTGGAAAGAATATAAAACCTGGTTGGTCTGCTTATTCTCCTTGATCATCTGTGGATCCAACAGATGTCCTGCAACTATAACATATGTGAACAAGTTTGTCGTAGAATGATGAAACTTGTTATGGATATACAACTTCTTTTATTCTGTAAAAGGCGCTGTCGTTGTCATCACTTGCTTGACAACGGCATTTATGTCGAAACGTCGCCTTTCACAGAATACAAGAAGTTGTATATCCATAAAAATTGTCATCATTCTTCATCAACTCAACTTCTAAAATGCCCATCAAAGATGAAAGTTTGTCGTAGGTTATTTTACAGATTCCTGCGTCAAGAGCTGCTTTTGAGGCAAATGTCTCTCAACTTTATCCTCATTATTTAAACCGATTGTTCATGGCTTCGCCACTGTGGTAATTGCAACACGAACACAGTCCATAAGCTGTATATGATATACAAACGTTGACGTAAGGTTTCCCGCTGTGGTATTGCTAAATGCGTCGTAAAACCATACTCACTCACTCACTCAAGAGTTGACAGAAAACATATCATGTTAAACAAACGTTGACGTAAGGTCTCCTCCCTCCGGAGTCAGACAGAATCTGTCCATGCTATTGATGTTCAGATCCGATATAGTCAGGAGTACGGGGTCTTTATTCAAGTTGAGGGCATACACTGTGATGCTTCCAGGCTTGTAGTTGTATACGCTGAAACATGAAAAGTGATGTCAATATGTAGGATTATTAGTATTACTTTCCTTGAAACCTAGTCATTTCATTCATTTGTGAAAATATCATATGAATGACTTGTATGGGCATGACGTCATAATGATTTGAGTGACGGCATTTGTTTTGATGACGTCACACAGTTGCTAGCTATGCAGAGATGCAGATGTCACCCACGGGAATCTCACACATAGGCATTACATCTCTGTAACGTCTTAAGTCAAATTCGATATTCATGACACGTACCAATAAGACGAAAACATTCCTTCCTGAAAATCACGGACACTCAGCTGTTGTTCTGCCAGTACCTGGCATAGCTCTAAACTGATTCAAATTGCAGTGACTGTGTGTATATTTGGACTTTGATAAAATGCTTTATTTGTGATTAGTGGTAGCTTATGGCCAAACTGTTGTGTGGGAAGTGTTGACCAGGTTATGAATAGAGTTGTTACCAAACAACCCACTTGTTAAGCTTCGTACAGTGTGCATACAGTCGGATGCTGGTAGATGAGGATGGAACATCAAATACTTTGTTGCCAACAAGTCTCTTGTAAAGAAGCGTCAACCAATAGTCCTGGCAAATGAAATCATGGTGTCAGTACACGCTATTGTTTAGTGCAACCCATGCTTATCGTAAGAGGCAAATGATTAGATCGGGTGGTCAGCCTCGCTGACTTGGCTGACACATGTAATCGTATTCCAATAGTGCTGATCGATGTTCATCATGTCTGTCACTGGATAGTCTGGTCCAGATTCGGTAATTTACTACATTTCATACAGCTGGTATATCGCTGGGTGTAGCAACAACATACAGCACAAACGAACAAAACGAATATGGTTGATGTCGAGATAGTCGAAACAGGATGATCCATGAGAGACTACCTCAAAGGCCTTGGTCACTACATACGACCTTTAAGCACAAGGTACTGTTCACCGGGTGCCATTCAAATCGCCCCAGCTACAAAACGCCTCAGCCAATTTGGTCAAAATGCCCCAGATTTTTGGTCAAATCGCCCCAGGTTTGGTCAAATTGCCCCAGGGGGGTAGTCAAAATGCCCCAGTGTATTTAAAATGATTAATTATATGCCATAAATGCATAGTTTTTGTCAACTTCCATATTATGTACTTCGTATAATATTATATAATAATAGTTCTGATAGATTTTCTATTAGTAAACTGATATGAGCAAAACTAATATAAACACTATAATACCAATTATTCGCATGTTATTAATGCTTTTGTAAAGAATTACAAGCATAAAGTGAAATTTTTGTATAAAATGTTTATTGGCCATAAATGCATAGTTTTTGTGAGCAAGTATTGTATAATACTTATCAAAACAATCTAGAGCTTTTGTTAATTAATCTTGTCAAAAGGTGAGGCCGTAAATGCACAGGTTTTCTCAACAAGTATCGTATAATACTTGTCAAAACAATCTAGAGCTTGTGTTAATTAAACTTGTCAAAAGGTGAGGCCGTGAATGCAGAGGTTTTCTCAACACGTATGGTTTAATGCTTATCAAAACAATCTAGAGCTTTTGTTAATTAATCTTGTCAAAATGTGTGGATAAAACAGGCTATTAAAACATGTTCACTAATTGACATTCAATGCTGTGTTTAATGTTGAGGCTCGAATGTATGAGCATTTCAGGCTATAAAAACATATTCACTAATCGACCACCACCTATCGAGATTCAAAAATGTAATTTTGAACGATTCTAATATCTACAGTCATTTTGACTTAAATTTCGGTAACAGATTTTGTCTAATCATACATTCTTGTCTCTCAACTTGAATGTAGTGACCTTAATGCGCACAAATATGAAAGATTTATATCTCCAACATCATCTTGCTCTTGTGGCGATAACTATGAAGACTCTGATCACTATTTCTTTTCATGTACTCTTTACAACGATATACGTCAAATTATGCATTTTTATACTAAAGGATTGGAAACCAACGCTGCTCCTCAATAGTAAACAAAGAACTTTTAATTTCAGTGCACTCTTTTATAAATTTAACAGGTAGATTTGATCCAAAATATTTTGTTTATATGACATATACCGTTTAACAATGATTGGCGTTATTTCTCGTTTTTGCAACATTTATATATCATTCACATTGTCCATTCATCATGACGAGTTTATTCTTCCTTCCATTGTATCCCAGAGCGGTATTCATATAAGCTTATGCTTGTTTACCAATCCGGTTCCTTTCTTTGGAAATAAATATGTTTAAATAATAAATATTATACCATACTTGTTATGATTACACAATGCCATTTGTTGACCCAAAACTATTTACAGCCAATAAACATATTCTACAAACCTTTCATTTTACTCTTGTAATTCTTTACCAAATAATTGGTACTACAGTGTTGTCTATACATGAATATTTCTTTTGCTCTTATCAGTTTACTAATAGAAAATTTATCAGAAATATTACTATATAATATTATATATTGAATATAATATGGAAGTTGACAAAAACTGTGCATTTGTGGCATATATTTAACCAATTTAAATACATTGGGGCATTTTGACTACCCCCCTGGGCCAATTTGACCAAACCTGGGGCATTTTGACCAAATTGGCTGAGGCGTTTTGTAGCTGGGGCGATTTGACTGGCACCCCTGTTCACCTATCATGATATGGAATTCCGACATGATAAGTAAGTGAGTGAGTAAGTATTGTTTTACGCCGCTTTTACCAATATTCCAGCAATATCACGGTGGGGAACACCAGAAATGGTATTCACACATTGTACGTATGTGGGGAATCGAACCCGGGTCTTCGGCGTGACGAGCGAACACTTTAACCACTAGGCTACCTAACCGCCCCTCCGACATAATGACATTTTGTAGCTGTTAATATGACATGATAATATCTTAACGTAACATGCGTTCACGCACAGGAGTAGGGTCGCTGTTGTCATCAAGAAGTGAGTGATGCCCTCCGAAGAATGACTGGCGCATGACCCTTTTTAAACCATATTTTGCTGACACTCCCAGTTTATCAAGCCACCTAAGATTTTGAACAAAATCACTTTATAAGATTAATAATCCTTTCTTAACAAACCATGTATAGAAAAAGAAGAAAACAGTTAGACGATAATTGTGCCACAGACACCGAAGACGTCATCATCAATGGTATATCCTACCCGCGTAAACTTTTACAGAACAATGTCTTACAGTTGAATCCCAATATTTTCAACACGGTCCTGGTGTTTCTACAGAACTGAACGCATCAGTAATCACCATCTAAGAAATATCTATTAGCAATCGAATTCTAAATCTGCTTGACGTTCCCACGTTGCTTTCTACTTCTGATTACAGGCTCTTCGTATAAAGAAATCTACTCTGAGCATGAAACTGTTTGAAAAGAAAACGTTAAGCAAACACCCTTTGAATAGCTAAGATATTCACAGATTGCCTGCCACATATCTATTGCCTATGCCAGGAGTGCCGCCCCCATAGCCAGAAGAAGTTTCCCCTAGCCACGCCACCAGGCCATGATAACTTCGCACCATACCCATCACTGTTTGAACTTCGGATATAAGACGGTCCATTATAGAGTGGTCAAAAAAAGTCTTCGAGTTTCGCTGTTTTTCCATTAAAGTAGTAACTGAAAAGAATAAAATCTAACACAAACAGTCCTAACCGTATTAAGGTACACGCAACAATCAGCCAAACAAACGTTCCTTTCTATTTTTGTTTCTCTTATTGTATATATTGAAGTGTGTTACACAAAGTGATTGGTGATCTACTCATTTCGTTAACGCCATTCTCCCACTCGGCGTCCACTATAAGCATCAGTTACCATCCTGCTGCTACTATACTGAGTCAAAAAAGAAACTTCACAAAATGTAATTTGAAAAATAATGAATAATTTTACTCTGATGATACGTCTTTGTATCCGAAATGGGATCCCTATCTTTCGACTCTAGGAAAACGTTAGCAAAACCCACTCAAACACATCCATGCGTCGTGCAAATGATGTTAATGCCAAATCAGGTTTTGCACGTGCAGTCGATCACGTGATCTTCGCATCGAAGTTTTCTTCATATGCACGTGTTTGCATTGGCCTCAAGAATTGAAAAAACACTTTTAAACCACAGTTCTAACGGTACTTGAAATGTCACGATTGTCAAATGCGCAACGTGAACGTGCCGTTGGCATGTTGCAAGCCGGAAGATCAGTTATTGACGTCGCAAGAGCAATGGGATGCATACGTCGTACTGTGTATGACTTGCGAGGTCGTCTACAACCAACTGGCACCACCTCTGATCGCCCAAGGTCGGGTCGTCCACGTGTGACGTCTCGAGCAGAAGGTCTAATCGTCCTGCGTCACCTACGTGACAGATTTCTGCCGGCTACACGAACCAGGGCTGAGATGTTTAGAGGTCGACTGTCCTCACAGACATTCGAAATTGTTTGCGGGCTGCCAATCTCCATTCTCGACGTCCATATCGTGGGCATATATTGACGCCGTTTCATCAACGTCAACGTCTGCTGTGGGCCCAACGTCACCTCCGATGGACCCAGAGAGACTGGAATCGAGTCGTCTTTAGCGATGAAACCAGGTTTACCCTCAGATTCGCGGACGGCAGGCATAGAGTCTGGAGACGACGTCGTGAATGTTGTGTACAGGAAGTCGACAGATTCGGGGGCGGAAGTTGCATGGTGTGGGGTGCTTTCTGAGGGAACAACCGTTCCCGACTTCTGGTCATCCGTCGAAACCTCACAGCTGCTGCTCACCGCGACCAGGTTCTCACCCTGAACTCGTTCCTTTCATGGCGGCTCATGGCCCAGGTGTACAGTTCCAGCATGATAATGCTCGGCCGCATACCACGATGTTGACACGAAATTTCCTTCAAAACGCTGGAATCAACGTCATGGACTGGCCATCGAGGTCCCCTGACCTTATTCCAATAGAGCACGTTTGGGATGCACTTGTGAGTAGGCTTCGTGGTCTTAGGAACCAACCTCAGAATTTGCAGGAACTTGGCGCTTCCTTGCAAGAGCAATGGCGCAGAATCCCCAACCACGTGTTCACAAGCATCAGGCAGTCTATGAGTAGACGGTGTTTGGCAGTGGTGAATGCGAGGGGAGGCCATAAATGATATTGAACTGAGAAATTTCGCATTTTTATTCTTGTGACTTGACATTCTTTTTACCCATGTTTTGGAACGGCGGTGTAGCCTAATGGAACTGATTATGGCACTGTCAGTGTATCGAGTACATCACACAGATCTCAGCAATGAAATAATAACAATTTAACCATCTTACCATCTCTTGTTCTTTTATAGTGCCCTGAAGAAAGAATGTGAAGTTTCTGTTTTGACTCAGTATATATATCCATTATTCGGCTAATATGTCTTCGCTGTAATCCACGGTTGCTGCTGGAGTGAGTATGGTTTTGCGCCGCTTTTAGCAATATTCCAGCAATATCACGGCGAGGGACAAACCCGGGTCTTCAGCGGTACGAACGGATGCTTTAATTTGGCTACCCCAAGACCCGATGCTACTGGATCATCCATAATGACATGAATGATTCATTGACGTCCACGTCCCTGATACCCTGCCACCCAAGGACGATATTCACTGATGGACGGTCAGGACGTCTATGGCACTGGCTCCGCCATCGGTCAGGGACCTGGAATTGCATGATCACATTTGACAAGAGAGTATCGAGGAAGGTATCACTTGCATTTACCATATTCGTGTTTGTGGAAACCTGATGTGTGAAAAGATAAAAGCTACCGAATGGTTTAACGCCGCTTTGGATAATGAGGAACGACAGATGGGACTCAGGTTTCAGGCGTTTAAGCTGGGGCAAGGTAAATCCAAACCTCAAGGATGCACAAAGGGATTGACACACTCGTGCTCCCATGTCAGTTATTGAATGAATGCTTTAGATTTGACACAAAGGGTGAGACTAACATACCATAGTAAGCACAGAGGTGGTTCAGTTTGTTAAACAACATTCTAGCAATGGGGCAATCAGCACCATACTCCCAAGTGTAGCGTATGAAATGTGTATTTAATGCATACTTGTTTAAAAACTTGTCTTCATAACTGGCCACGTCAGGTCCGAGGATTAGACTAGACTTATAGGCCGTTCCTTGGAGGACTTGTTTCAACTCTTTGAAGTCACTTGCCAGTTGCGCTTCACTGACAGTTGTATTCCATTGTCGGTAATAAAAGTTTGGTGCTTCATGGACAAAACATACGACGGTAATTATGCATTACGAATAACAAGGGATCCTGTCTACACACACGGTATGGTACATCAAGGAGAAGGGAATTAATATACAAATTATATTCATATCATTCTTAATGTTTTAAGGGTGTTGCATTCAATGTTAGTGTGAAAGGACGCAGATAATTCAGTAGTAATACGATGTGCCCGTCTATTGTTTAACGCCCAAATATGATACGTGGCACTTATGAACGAAATTATCCAGCCTGATTACGTATCTTGTTGTTGTGGACCTGTTCTGTGCGGATTCCAAACAACTATATTTCAATTTTTTTAAATGATCTGTGATAGATGTGACATATATGTGGCTTCAAACCTACCATTTCCCAGTTTAATCCCGGCAAAAGGATACCCTTTGTCAGAGGAATATTTGAGCAACAGCTTAGCATTTGATGGGTTCCACTTTGTTCCGTCACGGAGCATTAGGTTAAGACCAATCACCAGTTTGAGTCCAATCTTTTGAACAAACATGTTGAGATCATCCCAGGTCGTTGCTGAAAATATATGTTTCAGATTTGCATGTGTGTAAAACTATATGGTTTAATATGTGTTAAAACAATGAGGCCAACCAAACAATGCATTTTGAAGCGTGGCGGATTTGAATAAAGAAATCCGTCGACAAATGTCAGGATTATTGAATTTTGGGAACGTAGTCATGTTCCTATCTAGACATATGACAGTCCTCACTAGTAATGGTCGGAAGACGGGGTTTCCAGACGTTGGCCCAGTTAATGCAACAGCATTGACAGTTTTATGGAATGATACTACATGTATTCCAAACTATTGTCCGATCTGGACTTGTTTGTATCAGCACAGTAGTCGGTAGTGGACTGAAGTAAAGTTGTTTATATTTGTTTATTGTTGTTCATTTTGGAAGATATGACTATCCTATCCAGCTATCACCTCGGAGCTGGAACTGCTGTCCAGTAGCAATGTCGTGAGTCGGGTCGAACACCATGTAGTCCCCTGATGTGCCCCCGACTCTCAGATACCCGGGTGCTAAAGCCTTTCCAAGGGCCAGCAGTTTGGGAGAGCTGTTGATAAAAACATATTTTTAGGCTCAACAAAATGCACTGGTAGTCAAATTACAGTCCTCAAGTGATTTGGAGTTTACACCCACATAGCAATAAGTTGCAGCGTTTTGGAGCAACGAGTGGGTGTATATGATCATTGAGCGGTCAATGATAAAGCTGGACAGAAACGCAATCAATGAGAAAAAACATGGCTTGACTTAAATATTGTGTACATTTCATTTGGTTTAGCTGTACACATGAATCGAAATTCTCCTCGGATTTACCATGTAACAGTCATCAAATAGCAACAAACTCTCTTCCACTGTGATTACACAATGCCATTAAGAAAGTGGTCAAATGTAACATATGTTTTATTTGGGATTACACTTTCTTAGTAAAGTACAAATTCTAGTACTTTTTTTAGTTGAGCCCCATCCGGGATTCTAACCCACACCCTCAGAGTCAGGCACCTAATCGTCAGCACACAAAGTCAACCGCCTAACCCGCTCAGCTACCGCGACTTCCACAAAAATGGAAGTTGGACAACTGGTAGTCTAGGCTGCGGGCTTTGTGTACCCCTCTGTTAAGCGTTAATTGGCACGGCTCCCACGGATGTACCACTGATTTACCAAAGTGAACTAGGAATCGAGGAGACCAGTTGGACATCCTCATCTCTATCACATTTAGATCTTTGCATAAGATTCTTTGTGACAAAACACTCTAAAGAAGACTCAAGGTGTGTAAAGAAAGTGATTCTTGTGTATTTGTTTTGCTGTGGATATGTAACCGATCTATTTGGATCTATAACCTATTTATCTGGATCCATAACCTATCTATGTGGATCCATAACCTATCAATATGGATCCATAACCTATCTATGTGGATCCATAACCTATCTATGTGGATCCATAACCTATCTATGTGGATCCATAACCTATCTATGTGGATCCATAACCTATCTATATGGAACCATAACCTATCAATATGGATGCATAACTTATCTATGTGGATCCATAACCTATCAATATGGATCCATAACCTATCTATGTGGATCCATAACCTATCTAAGTGGATCCATAACCTATCTATGTGGATCCATATCCTATCTATATGGAACCATAACCTATCAATATGGATGCATAACTTATCTATGTGGATCCATAACCTATCAATATGGATCCATAACCTATCTATGTGGATCCATAACCTATCAACATGGATCCATAACCTATC